CCTCACTGCCAACCATAACAGGAGCCTGATCAAATGGTGGCCTTATCACATAATAGGTACTGAGCTGCAAGTAGGAGTCTTCTTGTGATAGTCAATGAGCAGGGTAAAATTTAATGACAACCTCATTAGACCCAGCTGCATGGGAGGTCAGAAGGATACAGAAGAAGGTGAGGAATGCACAAGGTTTAAAGATAACAGTTAATCTGATGGAAGCCAAGGCTTGTGCACAGTGGTAAGTTTATCACGGTTTACATGCACCTGATAAGACAGGCAAGTAAACTTTACTAACTAATCAAATAAGGCATAAAGGACTAGTTACACTTTGAGAGTTTCCAAGCAACTGTGATTTGACACACACACACACTTGCTGCCAGTTCAAGCACTGTTTAAAACTGGGTCAGGGCCCTGCCTGGCTCACAGCAGGAAGTCACCGCTCACAGCATTCACCACCCACAGGATTTACTGTTGAGTTTCTTAAGTGAAAAAGAATTATTTCATAAATAACGTCAGCTGCTGGAAAATGGAGGCAGCACAGCAAAGCAAATCATGCCCTTTGTCTTCCAGATTCACTCTTGCAGCAGATGTTCATAGTTCGGTTTTTAGGCTCTATGGCTGTTCAGTCAGATGCCACAAGTGAGGTGATTTATGAAGCGATGAGACAAGTATTAGCTGCTCGTGCCATCCACAACATATTCCGTATGACTGAATCCCATCTCATGGTCACCAGCAAGAACCTGAGGTACTGTGAAACCTTCAACTTGTCAATGTCCTATTCTTTTCATACAACTTGTGATTAGTAAAGTATTTTGGGGCTTGTCTTCCCAAGAAATACACACCCTTTGAGAGAGCAAGATCCTAAGATTACTTTTTAAAAATGTGTCTTTTTCTTACTCTGTAGTATCTAGAAAGTTCTAAGAACATCCTACCAAACTTAGGGGATGCAGTGGGGCTACAAGGTTCCACAAGGATAAAGATGCAAAAAAAGACTGAGCACTGAAGATGCTTTCTCCTTACCTGTAGTAACAGCAAGAGAGCCATTGCTGTCTTGGGGATGGTCTTGTCAATGCAGAATGTGCTGAAGCAAGATCTTTACTTTAGCTGGTGTGTCTTTACATCCAGTGTGGTAGCCCGTGCAGGCAGGGTGCTTACCAGATCAGTGCTTCAGAAAGATACTGTGACCTACACAAGTCAGGCACGTGGGAGTCAGGGTCTAGAGCCTGAATGTTGCCATTGACCAACTTGGGATCACTGATAAAGCACTTGATTCTGTGCACGTTTCCTCGTCTGTAAAACTGCTACAGCAGTTGCCTTTTTATTATACAGCACTTTGAAATGACTAACAATCACTCTAAAATAATCTGTGTCTTTTTGTCCCTACACCCAATTGCAGGTTAATAGATCCTCAGACCCAAGTTACACGAACAAGTGTAAGTAACTTCTGTTTTGAACCTGGTTTTCTACCACAGCACTGAATACTCAAGTCACATGAACTTGAGCTCTTGACCAAGCTGACCGTACTCTGATTTAAAATAACTAAATCCTTTATGACACTTTTCCAGTTTGACCTCCCCACTGTGACACAGTTTGCTGCTCATCAGGATAACAGGCGACTGATTGGCTTTGTGGTCCACCTCAGTGAGCCGGTGGGAGAAGAGTCCATGAGCGCGTATGTTTTTGAGAGCAACACAGAAGGGGAAAAGGTTTGCATAAGATTTAATAAAATTCTTAATTTAGAAATGAGGTCTTGGGCTTCTTGGCTTACACATCTGGGAAACAGTGCTACGGAAGCAAGAGCAGCTCAGTTTCTTGCCAAGAAAACATGCTTTAACATGGTGATAGCATATAGATGCTGCAGCAGCATGTGCCACAAGGAGGAAAGGATGTGATTGCTCACACCAGCAGTGAGAGAGAGGGGGAAGCATGTACCAAGCAGCAGCAGCAAGAAGTGTGAACATCAGCTCATGTTAAGACATGCATGTTTGTAAAGCTTTCAAAAGACAGGGCAGCTGTTCGTGCTAACACCATTAGGTGTGGTGAAACAACATGCTGCACGGGATAACAACAGACTACTAGAAATAAGGAATGTGCTGGAGAATTTATGTCTTAACACTACTCTTACATGCACTGGAAAGATCCCCTGGGTTTGGAAATAAAGTTTAGTGAGTAAAACTGAGTACAATGATTTACCACCCTAAGTGAGCTCTGAAGCAGAATGCAAGGTAGTCTTAATGTAGTTAGCATAGCGAAGAGGTATTCCACCTCTGCTGTTAGACCTGTATTTAGGACTAGGTGTGCACATCTGTGTTTTAGTCCCAGTTAAGAAACAAACCAACCCCAAACCTGAACTTTAGGTATAGTTCTTTTTTTGTTTGTTACAGATTTGCTATGCCATTAGCTTGGGAAAAGAAATCATTGAGGCAAAGAAGGTAAGTTTGTTTCATTCTCCATGTCCACATTGTGATACATCCTATTCTGCTTTTGGTTGCACCCTCTAAGTACCTCTGGTGTGTCTAAGAAAGGAGAACTGCAATTCCTCCTAATGACAAAGTTCTGAGCACCCTATTTAACACAGCCCCTGGGTAGTTCACGGGAAAATAAACTCAGTTTGACTTTGCAGTAGCTTGGTTAGAGATAACATTTTGCCACCCTAAATCAGATTCAGAACTATACAAATTCAGTTGTTCCATGTTGGAATGGAAGCTGTGAGCGAAGTTGTCAAAAAACCCCAAACGCTGTGGGGTAGAGTGTTTTTCCACTGAAAATGAATCGCAATGTTAACCCCTCCTAGAGAAATTTTATCTATAGAAAGATGTGACACTAATACATCAACACATGCTATGTATTTTTACTGCTAAGATTTCAGGACAGCTGGGGAATGAGCTTTTAGTCACAGGCCATAAGCACAGGTATAATAATTAACGTAGTCAGTTATTTACCCCTTGTTTTTCAATAATTCTAGCAATGCCAGATAAGAGCAGCAAAATAAAAGCTCAAAGTGAATGAATGTTTTTTTTCCCCTCACATACTCAAGGGGTGGGTTTATCTGAACCAAAAGGGCTTGTTTAAGTTTCAAACCTTTAGTCTAAAGGTTGTTATAAAAGAGTTGCAAAACTTTACCCAGAAGTGCTGGGAGAAGTGTGTGCTTCTCCTCAAGGAGTGCTGGAGCCTGCTGAACTCCCTTGTTTTTTCCCTTTCAGGATCCAGAAGCACTAGCTCAGCTAATGAAGTCTGTGCCATTAACAAATGATGGGAAGTTCCTTCTTCTGAATGATGAGTCAGAAGAGGATGGAGCCATACGTGAGGAAGGGGAGGAATCAGAAGCGTAACAAACTCTTGTCATTTCCTGCAGCCTGGCTGGGAGCAGGAGCAGCAGGGACCATGTTTTCAGCCATCATGCACACAGGCGGCCAGAACCCATCTTCCCACTGCGGGGAGTGGGGTGTCTGCACTGGAGCTTCCTCAGGATTTGTAGTGGAACAGCAGCAGGACTTGCGCATCTGCGAATGTGCAGGGTGGAGATGTGCCTGGAAGCTTTGGGAATGTTTCAGCATTAGCCCCTTGCTGCTGGCAGCTGGGACAGCACCGCTGTCAGCCACAAAGGGTGATCAACGCTGCTTCACCTTGACCTGGCCAGCAGTCTACAGTTCCACTGAAATCAGTGCAAGCATCAGCTCCTTCAACAACTACCCAGCCTCAACTTCCCCACCATAGTCAATTTCCATAGTTTGCATGATGATGTGCATCTGAATGAAGGCTAAAAATGCACTATTTACTTTAATTTTCAGATGAAGTTATTTTTAGTCTAGTTTTAAGTGTAACAAGATTTCTCTTTTGTGCTAGCCTATTTACAGAACAGTTTGTTAAACACTAAATTTTTCCTATTAATATAATTATTTTTATATTGCATCTAGAATAAGCTTACAAAACAAATCTAAGTGCCTACTCTTACCTTCTGTGGGACCACACTCACACCATCTGTAATTAAATAATGGACAGAATTTACATCCTTGATTTATTATTCTAAATACCACTGACATGCAAAAGAGCAGGAGTAGTCAGCGAAGGGGGCATGTTAGTTGTGTGCAGTTGTTTCTATGGTTAGGTTTCTTCAAAGTTAAGTTGCCAGAGGTGGTGACTGTAGGACAAGTAAGTACTTTTATAAGAAGAATTCTTTGTATTTTTGACATTATGGTGATATGCAACAGCCGAGTCTACCAGCAATCTTTGGTTTTGGAGAAATGGAGCAATAAAATGCTAGATTGTAAGTCTACAATATACTGACTAGTCTCATAGTCTATTTGAGTCTATTCTAGTCTTCTTGAAATTAGACACTAGACAGATTTGGCTAATAAAAGTTTACTTTTTCCCCCCTTCCTGTTTAACCTGAAAACATGAGAAATGGTACTTTGCAAGAACAAACAAAACAAACATTTGGTACTGGGGGCAGGGGCAATATAATCTATGCCAGGAGCTTGTACTAATCGAGATAAGGTAAGCAGAACAAATTACTGAAATTCCCTGAACTTAAATTTAACTCAATCACTTACTCAGAAACTAGATTTTCTGTAAGCAGAGTCTGTGCTACAGCATGGGAAACATCCCAGTTTGCAAGTGTTACTTGACATGGAATAAATTCAGTTTAGCAAGTTGTTGCATTCTTAAAAGAACCACAGAAGAAAACTGTTAGTAACTGACAAAAACTTCATAAAAGTTGAAGCTGTCTTATTAAAAATAAATAAACACCTGCTGAAGTGATGTTACTGAAGACACTGAGAATGAGGTTCTCAAAATTGCATTTATTAACACAGTTTTATATACATAATGTTCTCTACTCACAAACCAGAGACCGAGGTAACAAAATACCCTTTTGTACACCGAGTTAGGAAACATTAAGTGTTACATTTGGTCCTTTGTACCTGAGAAGCTGAAAACAGCTGTTGTTAATGGATGTCAGATGAAAACTCAAATTTACTTCCAATTACAGACCACCTGAGGACCTCCAGAATCTACCCTTCAGCACCAGTCCCATGCAGCTCAGAGCAGCTGGGTGCCACTGGGACCATCACTTAGAGACCACTCATGGCAAATATCTTTTGACTTTGGGGCTGAGTTACGCATCAGCTGGCTGCACGCTTCCTCACCACCATGCTGGAAGGAGGACCAGCAAGGCAGCCCCTTGGCTTCTGGCACGAAAAGGCACAGTGCCGTATGAGAAGCAGGTTGCAAGACCTCTGGCAGAGCAGCTGCTGCTGCTTGACATAAGGCTGAGTACACGAGAGCAGCAATGGCAGCTGCCTTCTCAGCAGAGAGGCTGCACTTCAGCCTAGTTCTGCCCGTCTTGAAGGAAGAAACCTAGAGACCTGCATTATGTCCCTGCAGCAAACACATCATTCTCACCTTTCTTTTATCACCTCTGGGAAGTTTGAGTGAGAGCATTCAGTTGAGTTGGGGTAATGGTTTTGTTTTAGCTCCAGTCTCACCTCCAGACCAGGGTCTGTTTTGTTCCCATAATCAGAACAGGAGGGCAAAAGCAATGAGAATAGTAGTAGCACCACAGCAAGACCTTTGCACCCCCTCCAGCTCATTGTGGAAGGGAAAAAAGATTTAACGTGCCTCTCCCTGACAGAAGGGGGGGGTGACACATCCAAATCCAGGACCTACCTTGGATTTCAGATGAGAAAAATGGTATGTATATATGCTGCTACATGACAAAAAGAAAGAAGGAAATAACACAAACTACAATCCTGTATTCGCAAGAATAGCTCTACTATCACTGTACATATCTGTGTGTATGTATATATTTTTGCCACATATAGTATACATTCAGGTCTCCCAGATTAAGCAGGGTTCTATAAAAATAGGCTTATGTTTTGCCTGCGGAATTGCCATCACCAGAACCACAGGAGTTAGCCACCATACTCTGAGAAAATGCACAGTCCACTTCATGTTCAATTGCAATGTATTACCTGTCCAAAATAGTGTCTCCTATGTGGAAGGAAGTGAAAGCACAGATTTCTTTAGAGGGCAGGTAACATCTTGACTGTGCATATCTACCTAGCAAGTCCGCCCCAGGGGGACTAGACACCATCTATGCACGACTCTGCAGCTGCTGAAGGAAATGCAGTGCTTGGCCATTCCAAGCCAAGAACTCCTGGGACTTCAGCTGAGATGGGAATATGGAAATACACACTGCAGTTGCAACAGGATGGGAAGGAGCAGCAGCAGCAGCGCGGCAGCTGATCTCGGCAGCGCTACCGAGCGTTCAGTGCGGGCACAATTTGGTCAAAAAAAAAAAAAGGAAGTGTACACAAATTAAAAAAAATACCTGTATCAAAATAAAAAAGCAAAAATTATAACTCAAGTAATGCAGCATTCTTTAGGGCAGTCTCTGCACTGAGAATGAATTAAAACTTGTCATGAGCCCAGCTGATCTATACAGTCCATGAAGCTTCTGTGTCATGTTTCCAGGACCAAAAGGACTTTAGCATCAGTCTGGTCTTTCCAGTTGCACCGAAACATCTGTTCTAGTTTTCTGAACATCAAAGTGACTGGCAGGAAAGGGCGAATCAGAATTACAACAGGAATTGTCTTAGTGACCCAGGGTGGGTGCAACCATTTGAACCACTAAAACATCACCTTTTTTTTTTTGTAATGAGAAATGATTAAGGAAGTTGGTATGGATGCTCTAAACTATGGTGAAGAGTGTCAAAAAACAAAGCCCTAAAAAGTAATTCTCTGTTGGACTGACTAGAGTAGTTTATTCTAGTTAGCAAGACTTAGAAGTGTTTTATGTTCTGGGAGATTAAAACACAACCCTACCTTTTAATGAGAGAGGGGGTTTACTTTTAGGCTAAGTCTAGCTACTTACTGAAGTTAGGAATCTGAGTAACTCTTGCACAGTCTAAAACCCCTACTTGCAGGCATTAATGGATGTTACATTTATACAGAGTTCTCACAGTGTTCAGCAGCTTCTGAAGCCTGCAGTGCAATTATTGTTAACAATCAGGCATGTAAGACTGTATGAACAACACGGACGGTACAACAAGCCTACAAAGGCCAGGAAATACAGCATTGAGGCTGAAACTTGCGATTAGGCACAACATATTAATGAACTGTAAGATCACTTAATAGTTACAGACACCTATCACACAGTGCCTGGTCATAAAAGGAAGAGCTGATTGTGGTTCTCTCTTGGCTCTGGATTTCCTTACTTCTGTGGATGCAAATCAGACCTTGGGTATGAAATGAGAAGTAATTTATTACATTAACTTTTCCAGCTTTCCCCTTTCTGTGATATGAGGGTTAAAAAACAGCAGGGATAAATAAATGCCTGACAAGCTCCTCAGTCCCCACAGTGCAAATACTCTCAGTAGTAATAATAAGGGTTTGTTGAATGAAACATTAAGAAGGACTTCCATTTTGTCTAATAACTAACATGCATTCACAGTATACACTGTTACACCTACAGTGTAATCTGTGACTGCATTAAATACAACAGGACTGTGTAAAAACATGTCTGAATTCTTTTTTGAACTACAGATATGCACAACAGTCTAGTTCAAATTTTTCCTGGTTGAAGAGATGCACCAGTTCAAATCTTAGACCAGTGGCCTATGAGTCTTTTTCTTAATGCTATGTTAGAGATGCAAGAATGCATCTAAAAATTAGTAAGTTTTTTTATCTGCACTTTAAAATTAGTACCTCCAAGGTTGCTATTTTTTATAATTATTTTCATTCTAAAGAAAGTGCTGTAAATAATGGAAACTCCTGAAAAATAGGAGTTCCTCTAGGAAATACAGACAAACACACATCTAGCCTCACTGGATGCTAGTATACTACTGTACATCTTCTCTTGGGTTTAACAGAGCGAGTAAATCAAATCTAGAGCTTTTAACCCCTACAGAGTGTTACTGATGATGAGAACATGAATTATTTGAGTAAGCAATCATCACCCATACCAGCCACATCATTTCACAACAGGATCTGCGGGCGTCGAGTTGGGGAGTTCTCCATTGCTGGCTTTAACAGATTCATCTACAAAAAAAATGAACACAAGGATCATGTCTATCATTTTATTCAAGGCAGTAAAAGCAAAGTCTTACCATCTATATTACACTGATGTCCTAACATACTTGATAACAGCATGGTCAGCACATGCAAACTGACCTCGCAGCACAAAGGATCCTGGCTCTATGAGGAAATCTCTACTTGAGGTGAAAGGTTTCTTCTATCAGAAGCTAGTGTAAATAATACGTACACACGCTCACATATCTTGCAGAGTCACAGTCCAAATATTATGGTAGAAGGCAAAGATATTACCATGTTC